CCCGTGATTCCCCCTGCATGGCCGGCCCGGGTGGGGGGCACGGGGGGGCCCGGACGCCATGGGGGGGGGGCACAAGGGGGGTCGTTGTGCCTGTCCCCGTGTGATTCGAAAAGTGCTGGCAAAATGTGGCTGCTGCTTCGCCCGGGGGGGACGTGGTGAGTGCGAGGTCGCAGGGGGCCCAGTGTTGAGTTGGGGACGGGTTTGGGGTTCAGGGCATCTGTTTTCCCTGGCCCTGAGGAATTTATAGAGTTGGAGCGTATGTTTTCCAGGAAAGTGAGTTAATAGACGAACTCGAAGGTCCCTTTTGCCTCCAGATTTCCGTTAGTTCCAAGTTAAAGAATTCGGGGAAGGGGCAAAAACTGCTATTTCTTTTTATAGTCAACTGGATTTGAAGGGAAAAAACACCCACAATCCCCTTGGGCCTCGAACCTTCAAATCATTCTGTAGCTCCCTTCAAATCATTTTGCTGAGAATCTTCTTCTGAAGAAGGACAGAGGGACTGAGGAATGAGGAGCTTCTACGAGGGGCTTTGTAAAAATTAAGTCACAGCTGCTTTCAGCAGCTGGCCAGAGATAACCCTGATGCACTCTATTCAGTGGCCCCCTCTGTTGGGCGTATGCATGTGTTGGGGAGGTGGGCTGCAGAAGTCTTTGCTTTTTATAATGATAAGTGCAATTGGAGGGGGGATCTGGGTGTGGCAGATGGACTCCAATCTTTTTCTCCCAACCCTCTCTCTGAGAATGGTCTGTACCCACTGGAAGGGGGAGGGTTATAGGAGAGCAGATGGTTACCCTCAGCTTCTAGTGTCTGCCCAGATGGCCACCCCCGCCCCCAGATCTGTTCTGTGCTCAGGATATGGGAAACCTTCACAAGTAACTGGGGGTTCCAGGCTTGGGGAGCCAGGTGTTTACTGTCCTTCCTCTTCAAGAAGCCCTGGTAAAATTTTTTATCCTAGCCAACTAAAATGAGGGAGCTAAGAGAGCGAGTTTCTCTGGGAGGGAGGAGCTGAATGTAATGAAGAGGAGAGTAGTTCCCTGGAGACCCTGAGTCTGGAACTAGACAATATCTATCACCTCCTTTCTTTTTTCCCCTATTAGAATCCTATTCCATCACTGGCAGTGAGGGGAGTATATCAGCTTCTGCTGCTTCCGGTCTGGCTGCCCCTTCTGGCCCCAGCTCTGGCCTCAGCTCTGGCCCCTGTTCCCCAGCCCCTCTAGGGCCAGTCAGTGGCCTGAGGAGATGGTTGGATCATTCCAAACATTGTCTTAGTGTGGAAACTGAGGCAGATAGTGGCCAAGCGGGACCATATGAGGTGAGCAGGGAGTACCACAGAAGCATGAATGACAGTGGGACAGAGGGAGAGTTGGGCCATTGGTCTGACAAGTGACACTTGACCTCTGGCTCCAGAACTGGATGCTTGAGCCAGTGCTAGCCACAGGAGAAGAGCTGCCAGAACTGACCTTGCTGACCACATTGTTGGAGGGCCCTGGGGATAAGATACAGGTATGAAAAAATGGGTCCGGGAGGGCTCACTTCACCCAGCAGATGTGCATTTGCTTACTCAAGGATGTTTTTTCCTTTCAGCCACTTGAAGAGGAGACTTTGTCCCAAGCCCCCGAGAGTAAGGAGGAACAGAAGAAGGCTCTGGAAAGGAGTATGTAAGTGTCCACAGCCTGAACCCTACCCCCACCTCTATCCATGAAGAACTCACATTTTAGATGAAATGTCTTCTGAGGCAGTAGTGACGAAGGGCTTCTAGTCCAGGAGGGAGGAACTAGCTAAACCAAGAATATACCCAGATGGAAGTGGGGACAACCTCTTGGTTCCTTCCTAGGTATGTCCTGAGTGAACTGGTAGAAACAGAGAAAATGTATGTGGACGACTTGGGACAGATTGTGGAGGTAGTGCCACCTTTTACCCCTTCACTCCTTTTACCCCCTAGCCCACTGGCCCTTTCTCTCTGCCTGGGGGTATTTTTAAGGGACTCCTTTTCCACCCTCTCAGGCTCCTACTTCTATACTTCTTGGTAGGGGATTCCCACCAGGGCTGGGGCCATATGCTTGTTTTCTTACCCCAACTTTCCCACAGGGTTACATGGCCACCATGGCTGCTCAGGGGGTTCCTGAGAGTCTTCAAGGCCGTGACAGGATTGTGTTTGGGAACATCCAGCAAATCTACGAGTGGCACCGCGAGTAAGTTTTGGAGCCTGAGAGTTAGATTCTGACAGGGGATTCCATCTAGCCATCTCTGTACTTCAACCATCAGCCCACTGGTACTCAAGGAGTGTTTGGAGAAATTCTGCAGGGAACACAGCCAGGGTACCTAGCTAGAATCAAGAATGTTTAAGGTAGCCGGGCGTGGTGGCGCATGCCTGTAATCCCAGCACTCGGGAGGCTGAGGCAGGAGGATTGCTGTTAGTTCGAGACCACCCTAGGCTACATAGTGAGTTCCACGTCAGTCTCAACTACACAGTGAGACCCTGTCTCAAAAAACAAAAAACAAAACAAAAGAATGTTTAAGGATATACAGATTCTGTAATGTATTTGACCTGCCTTTTTCTGCCAACCCTTCCAGCTATTTCCTGCAGGAGTTACAACTGTGTTTGAAGGATCCTGATTGGCTGGCTCAGCTCTTCATCAAACATGTAAGATTTAAGAGAGTGGAGCCTAGGGAAGGAGCAGCTTGGGTTTGAGGCCAGGCTTTTTGGAGATATGCCCTCTCTCCTCACCCACCCTGCTCTTTTCAATGTTACTCTTGTTAGGAACGAAGGCTTCATATGTACGTGGTATACTGTCAGAATAAGCCCAAGTCAGAGCATGTTGTATCAGAGTTTGGGGACAGCTACTTTGAGGTCAGTGGCTGAGATGCCTTGGGGAAAAGAGAACAGAATTAGCATGAGACAACTTTCCAGGCCTCGTAACCACCCTGTCCCTGTCCCCAGGAGCTCAGGCAGCAGCTGGGGCACCGCCTGCAGCTCAGTGACCTCCTCATCAAACCTGTGCAGCGGATCATGAAATACCAGCTGCTGCTCAAGGTCAGGATCACTTTCTCCCTTGGGGGCACAGTTGGCTGGGAAAGGAATACATCTCCCCAGGGTTAAGGCTTCCCAGAGTTCCTTACCTGTGTCCTCAAGGAAGGATGTGAGGGCTTTTAAGGAAGTCCTTCAGAACTCTAGAGCAGTTCTTTTCTCTCTCTCTCTTAGGATTTTCTCAAGTACTACAGTAGAGCTGGGATGGAAACCGAGGAGCTGGAGGTACAGACCCCCAATCCTCCTGGACACACCATATAGTCTTAGTCTCATGGGTTGCCCCAGCCCCCAGGGTGGTTTAGAGCTGTCTTGTTTCCAGGGGGAGGCTTGTTGGAGTGGACACATGTGAAGAGACAGCTGGGTGAAGAGGCATCTTTACCCAACAATGCTTCTCTCTCTCCTATATCCCAGCAAGCTGTGGAGGTCATGTGCTTCGTGCCCAAGCGCTGCAATGATATGATGACCCTGGGGAGACTGCGGGGATTTGAGGTAGGAAGATGGGGTGGGAAATCAGCAGCTCAGTGCTCTCACACCCAGTCTTATTCTGGAGGTCCTTATGGGGAATTGTCTTCTGTGGTTGATCCCATGGTTGGTAGTGATGGTGTCAGGGAAGAAAAGAGGAAACATTTGCCCTTTCCCTCTTATATTTCCTCAAAGGCTGTATTTGTTAATTTCAGGGCAAACTGACTGCTCAAGGGAAGCTGTTAGGCCAGGACACTTTCTGGGTCTCAGAACCTGAGGCTGGAGGCCTGCTCTCTTCCCGGGGCCGAGAGAGACGTGTCTTCCTCTTTGAGCAAATCGTCATCTTCAGCGAGGCTCTGGGAGGAGGAGCACGAGGTGGCACACAGCCTGGATATGTGTACAAGAGCAGCATCAAGGTGGGGAGGGACCATGACTGGGATGGGAAGAGCCCTCCGAGAGGATGTTTGGCTGTTGGATTTGTTGTAGGGGCCTGAATCTGGGATTATTGCCCATCTGCCAATTCAGGTAAGCTGCCTGGGACTGGAGGGGAACCTCCAAGGTGATCCTTGCCGCTTTGCCCTGACCTCTAGAGGGCCAGAAGGTGGGATCCAGCGCTATGTCCTTCAGGCTTCAGATCCTGCAGTCAGTCAAGCCTGGATCAAGCAAGTGGCCCAGATCCTGGAAAGCCAGCGGGACTTTCTCAATGGTAAGGCCCCCACCTTCCCTCCTCCACTTGTACCCTCAGCCCTTCACATCCTGAATCACATTCACTTCCCAATCTCCAGTTCTGCCCTCTGACCTAGGTTCTCTCTACCACGACTTTTTCACAGTTAACTCTAGATTTGGTAACTCACATTCCTGTAAAGCCCCAAGCACTTTACATTGGCACATATTCCTCCTGTGGGAGGGCAGGATGGAAGGATGTCACAAGTAGAGCCCTTGGGAAAGGGACCTGTCTCTACTGTAACCTTCCTTCTGTTCTTCTCTTTGCTCCAGCTTTGCAGTCACCCATTGAGTATCAGAGACGAGAGAGCCAGACCAACAGCCTGGGACGGCCAGGAGGGCTTGGGGTAGGGAGCCCTGGGAGAATTCGGCCTGGAGACCCAGCCCAGGTCAGCACTCATATACCCATCAACGGCTCTCTCCCCTCCCTGCTGCTGTTGCCCAAAGGGGAGGTAGTCAGAGTCCCCCTGCCTCTGGACACTCAGGTATGAGGACTGTAGATCCCTGGTTATAGGGACAGGATAGGGAAGACCCTCTTTTGTTCCCAGATCCCCAAGTCCTCCTCGCCCTTACCGTCCTTTCTTTTACTACCTTCCTTTTGTGTGCCTCTTCCTACTTCCAATCCCTTATTTTCCTCCCCTCTATTTCAATTCTGGGGCAAGTGGAGGGGGTTTAACTAGAGGCTGAAATTGAGAAGGGAGAGGTGAGGGTAGATCTTTGGCCTTTGCTGATCTTCTGACTTGAATCTTTCTTCAGGTCCTTAGTGTCACCCTGCCGGCTCCTCATGACTCTCCTCCAGTCCCTACAGCTCTGAACACCCCTCCAGGCCAGGCCAAACTCGCAAAGCTGGATGAAGATGAGCTGTAACTGGTGCAGGGCATGGGGATAGTGCTGACTCAGTCACCTGTTCCCAAAGGGACTTCAAGGCAATTCTGGCACCACTCCAGAATTCCTCCCTCTTAGTAAGGCTGGAAGGTGAGCGAGGCTAGGAAGATAATCAATTTGGAGGACAGTACCTAGGCCCAAAAATACTTCTTTCTGCCCAAGAAACACAGGATCCTTCAGCTCCACCCCTATGCATGCATCACCATCCCCTCAAAAGGGGATTATGTGAGTGGTTGGGAGGGAGGGCTTGGGCAAGGGTTTGGGTTTTGATTTTGTTTTTCTTGTTTTCTGAGAATAAAAGTTTTGTTATATCAGAGAGGCTGCTGTCTTGACAGAGGGAAGGAGAGGCTGCAGTCGGGGGAGAGGCTAGCTGGCCCCAGTCATTTGAAGAGGGGCTTGGTGAAAGGACTAGGCATAAGGTATAAAAGATGTTGCTATCTTTGCCCCTCACGTGCAGTTACAGCAGCTCTCAGTCCAGACCTGGGGCCTCGGGCCATCAGAGTCCTTAATGTGTTCTACCCTTTATCTGGCTCTCCTTCCCTGTAATTCATGTACTGGTCCAGACTCCACCAGAAAGCTCAATGTGATATGACTTCCCACTATTCCCAACTCCCAGACCCTTAAGTACAAAGTACCCAGTGTACCTGTCCTCCTGTAGCCTCTGTGTTCAGCTGGGGAACAGGAAGATGGATAGGAGTCTGGGGGCCATGGTGCCTTCCTGACTCTGCTTTTTCCATGCCATCTGAGAGGTGGTAAAACATGTCCACATTTAGCAGGCAGGGATTTGTCTTCAAACCCGTATCTAACAATGGAGAGTCCGAAGGGGTCTTCCCCGTCCCAACTTCTGGCTCAGCTCCTGGAACAGAGAGAGCCAAACATGCAAAGATACAGATGCCCAGTTCTGGGTCCTTGTGTATCCACATGTCCACTGTGTCCATTTGTCCCTCGGGCTTAGTCACGTGTCCTGGGGCTTCCTCAGCAGACAATAGGCTATTGGGGTGGGAGAGTAAGGAGATGTTGGAGTCTCCCAGAGGGCCCCAGGTCCCTCTAGCCGACAATGAAGGGAGGGATCTCTAACAGGGGGACAGGAAGTAAGCCCCAGATAAGATTTCTGGGGAACAATAGAAGGAATTGAAGAGGGGAGGCCCCACCCTCTATGCACCCCACCCCTGGGGTTTTAGGGTCAGGGTCTGGGGGGCCAAAGGAAGATAAGGAGTGGTACCAGAGGTTCTTGTGAACGGAGGAGGGGACAGCAGCTATTAGCCAGATTCCAGAGTTCAGAGCCCTTATATTTCTTAAATGACCACACTAGGTGGGGAGACCCCTTTGTATTTAGTTTAAACATGCTTGTATTTTGAGTGCCTACTTTGAATGTAATAACTGCTGTTTCAGGATGTTTGCCTAAGAAATATAATAATAATGTCATTATTTTCCCTAAACTAGGCCCAGCTATTCCTTGCAGAAGTGTGGGTGGTGGTTCTATCATCCTTTTGTCCAATATATGTGGTTGCTTCCCATCTCAGTTGTTCATGAAACTGTTGAAGCTCATAAAGCTCCTTACACGTTCTGGGGCAAATTGTACCAAATAAGGATTTGAATCAGAGGTGGGGATCCCAACTGTCACTGCACTTTCTTGCTCAGGCAGCTGCAAAAATGCAGTGGCTAAGAGGACCAATGACCTCAAGAGAAATCAGCCTATTTCTCTTCAAAATGCAGATGGGAAGGGAAGAGGTAGAGGATCAAAAAGACTTAAGACTAGTAAACAGTGGGTTTTGGGGTTTGCCAGGCTCCAGGGCTACTGCCAGATCCCGTCAAAGATGACTGAGGAAATGCCTAATACAGGGACTCTCCCCTCCCAACAGTGTGGACTAGGTCCCCAGGAGAGGGCGCCCTCCAGGTCTGGATTGGCTCCTGCTCCTGGGAGGCGGGACTCGGGGGATAGAGAGCCGCGGAGTATTTAAGACTGGAGAGTCAGAGGGGGCCAAGGGCAAAATGAGTGGGTTTCTGGGCACCAGCACCTGCTCAGGCCCTGGAGAAGCCTCTGACTTTAAGTCTCCCCTGTGCACCAGGCTCAGGGAACCTCTCACTGAAGCTCGGTTCCAGCAAATTTTCGGGGGCGCAGAGCAGGAGCCGGAGCCACCCGCGG